CGCAACAACTAGCAACCCACATGTTAGATTACAACAGGTTGAGCCAGTGCACGCTCCCCTGTGCCACACTCTGAAAAAAATAAATCAAATGTCTGTACCTGAGGCTCCTTCATTTCCCATGCAGAGCTCTCCTTTAATGTAGGCTTCTCATGGTACCTTTCTTTGCCAAGAAGGGGCTGACAATGGCTTATTTACCTACTTACCTGTCCTTGAGCTATGTGGCTTTTCTTTGAATAAATTAAACTGGCTGTTTCGAGTGATGCTTTCAGCCTCTCCAGTCTGGATCTAATTCTCAGAAGAGTTTTTGCTTAAAACCTGTTTTTCAAGTTTTCAACCAAGTATTGACTGCCTGCGAGATGCAGCTCTCTGAAAAGACCCTGGTGCCTATGGGTAAGGAAAAATATCCTATCTGGCTACCTTCCCTGCTTTTAGGTTTCCTATATACTTATGATAGACTAAGAGTGGAATGAGGGCTTGCTAAAACATGTCCTTGTCTTTTTTCAGTTAATTGTCTTGCTTGTTTGCTGCTCGTGACTCTGGGACCAGATTTTCTGCTGCTGAGAGTTTCTTTAAATCCACTGCTAGGAAATAGGTTTATTTTTTAATGCTATAATAGCATTTTTAATATTCCTGAGTGGATATACAAATTAGCTTTGCTTTGTGTGACTGATTCTGTCTTACAGGAAATGGTGATAAATACTTGAAAAACTGTCGTACTTAGGAAGTTTGATTTTAGTTTCCAAAGCAGAGGAAAATCTTGATTTCAATTTTTGGCAAAGGGTGTTTTTGTCATGTATTTTCTATGATCTCAGAAGCAACAAAATTTCAGGGGCCAAATGCTCATTTGTATGAGCTGACTTATCTCTGAGGCAAGGAATTTTATGGTTCATCAGAAAAGCTGTCTGTTGTCATGGACATGGGGTGATTTTTTTTCCCCTTGGGTGCCTAGGAGAAGAAATAAAAAAAACAAAACAGTGAGACAGAAAAACATGCTGAAATATCATGCAGAAAAGATGCCTTTTCTTTATAGTACACTGTAGAAAGTTCTAAAGATGATGTCCCAGGCACATTAAAGCATAACATGTATTAAATCTGGCACACAGCTAGAGTAAACTGTTGTTTCTCTGTTGCTTTGTTTCTCCCTATGCATTACCACTGTTTTCAAGCATATTGTGTTTTTACATATGCATATTCTTGTAGAGTGGGGAGAGAGGAAACCATAAGGGTGGCAGAGACCAAAAAAACAGAGGTCCCTTTCATTGCTGGAGCTGTCATCAGGATCAGGGTGCAATACATATCATCAGAGTTCTCAGCAATGCTCAGGGCAGAAGTGAAGAGAAATATTCAATCCCAGGCCCTTCTTTGGAAATATTGGCTCACTATTTACTACCAGGAGTAGCTAGAACTAATTGCACACCATGCTGGGCTCTTCAGAACAGTTCACTTCAAAATGGTCTCTGACTACAGATCTGCATGCCTCAATCCAAAAGCATTCAGGATAATTCTGTCCCAGGTCTGATGCACCTGAAATCAGAATTTGGACCTAAATAAAATAGCTGTTATTAAATTATTATTATCATCATTGCTATTATCTCTGTGTAAACAAAATACCACATACCATGACGAAACTGCTGCTTTTATCTCTCTTTGTAATGCTCCAAATCCTGTAATCTAATTGTTACACATCCTTGCTCAAAAGAAAGGCTCAAATATTAGCTTAAGGTTGTAATAGTAATTAGCACTGCAGAAGCTTAAGCTATCTGTGTAGATCACAGGGTTTGCTTACCACATACTTTATCGGTAGGTTAGCTCGGGCACCTTATCATCTGACACTAGGAATCCTGAGTTCAGCTGATTTTTTAGGAGTCTGTCTGTTCTGAATGTTTGCTCTTTATCTCTTAGGCTGTGGTTGAACATGCATCAAACACAGAAAGGAATGTAAGGGGTGAGGGAGCAGGGGAATGGGGAAAACCAAGTGTTCTGGCAGTGAAATGGTACTAAATAATGCCAAAATGTACTTGAAAGAGGAGTGGCAGTAGGATCTGAATAACTGATGGTAGAACCAAGACAGAAGTAGGGTTTCCACTGACAGAGCAAAGGTAGTAATTCACACCCAAACACTGCATCTGTCAGCTGAATGCAGAGGTGAGCAGAGCAACTCTGCTGCCATGTACACCAGGGAAATTCCAGCACCAGAGATTTGGAGACTGGATGCTCTGGCTTTGACACGGTGGCAAATTTACTGTATGCCTTTACTGAGAGCATTTTAAATTGGACTTTTAAAATGCAATCCAGTTTGTTTTCTGGTGCCTCTGTTCAGTAGCTGTGGAGAGGGTATAGTAAGGCTCATTCCATAACCTGTCTTCTGCTAGTGTCCTCTTTTTTTGCTCTTTCCTTCATTTCAAGTATCTGGAACAAGGTATAGATTATAAGGATGCTTACTTTTAACAGAGTGGTTGTTTTTAGGTTCTGATAAAAGACAGAAGGAAAATCCTCACTCAAGATATTAGTCAAACCCCGTCCTTCAAGAACAACCAAGTCACTCTATTAACATCTTAAATCAAATATTCCTTTCCACAAAATCACACCCTCCAACTTTTGTTTTCTTCTCTCCTTCAATAACACCATTTTCTCTTTGACCACAGCCCTTGGCAAGTCTTCCTTTCCATTTTTGTCTCTCCCTGTGCACACCTACTCCCTCTACAAAAGTCTCCTCTCTTCTGCTGGCTTGCCAGGTGCATTGTGTGAAGATCCAAGAAGTCACTCACAGGTAGCTGAGCTGGCTGGTATGCATGCACCGACTGGCCAGCTGGCAGCTCAAGCCAAGCAATTAGCTAACGAGCTTATACCACAGCCTTTCACTCACACGAGCTGTGCTTTGTCTCACACGCCACTGATTTTCATAATATATGTAGGATATTTATATCTTTTAAGCTTTTACCTCTCTAGAGAATGGGGTGAAATTAGCCACCAGGTTCAGAAAACATTGCTGGGCACAGGATTGACAGATGGAGAGCCAGATGGACAGACAGCACTCCTATAAAAGCCTTATTTCCTTAGGAAAAGAGGCCATTGGGTCTAAGCACTACTGGTACAGGGTTACAGGATGGATGGGGGGGGATTATAGCCCTCATTAACAGATGTCATGTGTCAGACACTCCTGCAGAGAGATGCAGAGGGAGAGGAAGGGAAGCACCTTATTTTGCCTTGCAGGTGTGTCCTGTTCTGACTCAAGTAAACTCACAGCAGACTGGCATAGCTACACAGTGATTCAAAAGGGAAAGGGAAAGGAAGGCAGATTTGTCACTAGCTCCATTAGTCCTTTGTGGATTGTCATTTAAAGGCACTCATGTGGCCTTTCCTAATCTCACCCAACAAGATCATGAAAGATTTTCTGATGTTTTCTTTACCCAGCCCAAGAGGGTAAATTAAGTAGCATATTAAGATTGTAGTCTCTTACTCTGAAAATTATTTGAACCCATCCTCTGACCCAGCTGCACTCTGAAAATGGCTGGATCAGGCATGATCAGGTCTAACAGGCTACGTAGTCTATATCTGGGGATTTCAAATAGGAAAAAAGGCCACTTTTAAATGTACTGCTTACTGAATCTTAAAACCCACTACTTAACCTCATTTTCTAAATCTGTAGTCATTAATATGAAAATGCTACAGCAAAAATTCATAGACACACAGAACAGCTTGGATTGAAAGGGATCTTAAAGATCATCTAGTTCCAACCCTGGTTCCATGGGCAGGGCATTTAATCTCTGCAACCCTTCTCTGGGGTTTAGTAGTAGTGGTGCACTAGCACAGGCTTTGGACTGGTCCCTGTTAGACTCATGACTGAGTAACAGTCTATAGGATCAACCACCTGTTTTATTTAGCCATTTTTTACCACTAGATAGTAATTTTTGTAGCATCCTTCCTTTGTAGCATCCTTAGCACCACAGTGAGCTACTATGTGAGGTGGGGAATGTAAAGGAAGTGAAAGGTGAAATGCCTTAATTGGGAGGATTATCATGTGCAGAGTTGATATATGAACAAAACCTGGCCCCAGAGGTTATGGAATTCCTGCCAGGACAGTGGGTGGGAACCCTTGGTTGAACCCAATTTCCTGCTTGAAGAACTGTTGCTCAGCAAGCAGGCTTTGAGTTGTCCTCACAGATGGATTCATCTGAAGCCTGGATGTTGGGTTGTGGATGCTCACTGCAACACGGGCAGTCCTGAAATGGAGAGAATGAAAAGTTTCAGAAATGTCAGTTACTGCATTTTAGAAAGCAATTGTGTTGCTCACAGTTTTATTTAAATTTGTAGGATAGCTATGAAAACATCCCATTATTTTGATGCCGTGCATAAATTTATCATAGCCAAGGGTAACTAGTACAATAAAATAAGCACAGATGCTGCTGGAGCTTTTCAGAACAACTTTCACTCCACACTTTCCAGTAATATGATGCACCTTCACTACTGAAAGCTTTGTAGTCAATCCTTTTACTTTTCTTTCACTACAAAAGTTCCTCTTAAAAGAACACCAGATCTAATCTTCAAAAATATTTGCTGACTTCTGAAGCATGTTCTCATGCCTCTGAGTTTGAAGTTACAGTAGAAAATTTACTTATGTAGGATGGCAATCCAAATAATCTTATTTTATCTGAAAGTATATAAAGGTCGTATCAAAATTTCATTGGAGTTCTGTCCAAGGAAAAAGAAGTTGCTTGCTTATGAAATTCTGTTATAAATGCATTTAACATCTGGTCCTGCAAATGTACATGATTGTTTCTTTGTGACCCCTTGCAATGAATAAAGGCAAGAGATGTGAGTAGAGATGTGCAGGATTAGATCCCTTACTTTATGTAATTTTTTTTCCTATGGCATTTCAATGATAAAAGACCAATTTCTGCCCTTGCTTAACCTCCAGCAACCCCACTGATTTCCTTGTTCATTCCAGATTGTAATGAATGACTTTACACACTGGAGCCTTTTTATTCTTTCCCTTCCAGATTGAGTGTCTCAGCCCAGACAATGGGCCCCTGCCTCCAGGAGTGTGCGACTGAAATAAATCCACGGAGTTGAGCAGCCGCACTCTGTCGTGACCGCGAGCCGAAGCTGGATTCTGACACACAAACTTCCATGGAGCATAAGCCAGGGGAGAGCATGCAGGTGAGCAGAATTTCTAACTCCTTAGCATGGCTTGTGTTCGTATCAGCCCTGACTCATGGGTTATACGCATAGGGTATGTATTAAATATCACTGTACTTGCACCACGTGTGTCTAATTGAGATAATTATGGCTGTTGGAGTGCTGGTGGGACTTGCAGTCCTTAATGCACTTATCCCCACAACATCTGATAAAGCAAGGAAGTCTTTTTATCTGTATATTATACAGAGGAAACTGAAGCCTGTTTTTTTTTTTGCTATGCCTGAAGACAGTTTTTTTTTTGCTATGCCAGGGAGCTGAATCTGGGTTTTCCAAGCTGAAAGCTAGCACTCAGTCTGTTGGTCTGTCTTGAAATAAGCAGTACAAATAGGCACAGAGAACAGCGCTTCTTGTAAATTGGGGATACTGAACTACTTCACTGTGATACATCAGACATGATAAATTGCTACCGTTAAATAAAGTGTTAGAGAATTGTCACGTAGCTATGGAGAGGCCACACTGTTATTAAGGATGCAAAAGGCAGACATTTCAGCTTATTCTTCCGTATCCATATTGACTCTGAAGTGCAAACAATAATAAAAACTAAATTTTGCCAGTAAGCTATCACAATTTATCTGGAGGACAGCGTAGAAAGTGGGAGCAGAGCTCAATCCCTCCCTCCTTGTGAGTGGTTACGTGTCAGCTGATGGAGGCAGCCCAGGCAGGAGGCATATTCATGCTATTTACCATTCTGGTGAGGATTCAGTGAGACAGGCTGGGGGTTGAGTCCTAAAAATTTAACAAGAATTGTAAATGTGTATCAGAACCAGTCACTGTACTCAGATCTGCTGTGTCGATACCACAAGATCATAATTTTCTCTGTTGTCATACAGTAATGTGGGAACTTTGCCATCTCAGAAGTCAATGGTTGGTTCAACACGTGAAAAGGAGGTGCCAGAAGTGAAGGTGTTGGGGAAGTGGGGGCTTTATTCTGCTGGCTCAGACATTATTCTCTAAAGGGCAGAGATGTCTCCAGATCTGTTCCTTTAGTAAGACCAAGACTCTCTGTGATTGAAATAACTGGCTTTTCATTTCCCAAGAGCATCTAGCATGTGAATGGGACTATTATTATGAATTTTGCTATTGCACAGGCATAAATCTGGAGTGATCACAAAGTTAGTCAAGATACGTGGCCTTATTGGAGAATTCAAAAATATCACACACATGTCTAAACCAGAAGATTTCATCAGGAAAAAAATCTCTTTCATGATGAGGTTATGTCTTGAATATGGCTGCAGATTGGCCTTCTAAGTTTTATTTGATATTGCTTGATATGCTGCAATATTTCATTGTAATTTAATGGCAATTCCTATTCACACAGCTATACTAAATAGGTTCTTATACGTACCTATTACCTTGGTAGCCAGGTTTCTATATCAAATCCTGAACATTCCAGTATTATTAAAAAATATAAAATCCATCTATTCCATCTGCTTTGTACAGTAAGGTGAACAAAATTGGATGTAAAGTCACAGTGTGGTAACAGGGTAATTATTTTTTGGAGTTTCTTCTAATATACTTATGGTCAATTGTATTGAAGATGTATTATATCACAGTTGTTCATGGCTGTTTTATCATGTGCTGTGAATTGAGAAATATTTTATCCTATCCCTGGATTTAAAAAAGCATACTTAAGATTTTTAGAGAGGAAAATATGTCTTTGAAAAGGTGTAATTTGATCCTCTGAGCAATTTATACAATTCTTGACATGATCTACATCTTCTTGATGAATATTTTTCTTCTTCCTAAGACATCACTGGTATTTCTGGGGATAAGAGAGACCTCATTCTACTTCAGTAGACTGAATGAACCAATATTTCATTTGAAGTTCACTTTATATGGTACATACAGTATGTTTACACAATCCCAAAATCTTTACTTCAAGAACAATTGTCTTCCACGGAAGTGGCCTCCTGAAATGTTTTCCTTAGTTTAAAAAAAAGAAAAGAAAAAAAAAAAAAAAGAAAGAAAAAAGGACGTATTTACAGAGTTAAAATATAAACAATATACAGGGAAAAAGAATGTAATAGGCTTAGGGAAAGGAGAATACAGACCTATATGCTTACAGGGCCTTCCACCTAATTGCCTATAAATAATTGTCTTGTGCATATTACCCACATCAGAGCACGGTCTATAAGCCTGGGTGTCAGCTGCAGAGCTCAGCTGCTGTTTGTAAATGGTATTAACTGTGCTCTTGGTTTTTCTGTGCTTAACTGTATATAGTTTTGTTTTATTGGCACTGTACTGTAAGCATATTCTGCACTATGCAAATATAAGAGCTGAGAAGCATATGGGCCGAATCCTGCAACATTCTCTCAGGCAAATGGCCAATTCACTTGATGGGAACTTTTCCTGAGTAAGCAGTCGGAGCAGACTCTCAGCTCCATCGTATGCCTCGGCTTCTTTTCAGGTATGACAACAGACACTGGTGCTTTGCAAGGAAGGAAAGGAAGGGTATAAGACCCAGTACTGAGGGTAGATGCTTAGCTCTGTTCTTCTCAAGACTTAAGATCTACTGAGATGCTACAAAAGGCATAGTCAGCATAGAGTGACCCTCTCCAGCCTTTAGCAGCTTGTTAAAAATCTGCTAATGAAAGGAAAGACACTTACAAAAGGAAAGAGTCTTCAGGACAAGAGGAAAGGGCCTCTTCCCTGGTTGTGCCAGGGAAGGTTTCTTCACTGAACAGACTGCTCAGGGAAGTGGGGGAATCGCCATCCTCAGAAGCATTCAAAAGACTTGTGGATGTGGCACTTGAGGACATGGTTTACTGATGGACTTGACAGTGCTGGGTCAACAGTTGGTCTTTTCTAATCTTAATAATTCTGTGATTGAATATGTGATAGCATTTCTTCTTCCCCACTCTGGACATAATCTCATGGCACCAGTAGTGGAAACATCTCTCTAGTCAATGCAGACAGATTTAAGCTGCAAGAATTCATGGAGTGAAGAGAAAGAGAAGGGAGATCCTCCTTTTGATAAAGAGCACCAGTGATTTCTGCTCCACCACCTTGTTCAAGAGCTTTGTCAGAGAGACATAACTCAAAGTGGGAACTTCAGGACTCAGCTCTGCATCCAGCTCTGGTTCAGCCCTGCTATCTATCATACAGGAATGGGGTTTCACCCTTTAACTGTGTAGGTGGCTAAAAGCTCTGTCCTATTTCCTGATCTCTCTATATTACATAGTCCAAGCTGTGGTGACCAGCAATATGTTGTGGACTTCAGGTGCAAGACCTACAAAAGCTCACACAGGTGCTTTTCTTAATTGAGTCCAATTTTGTCTACACTGCCCCTCACAGCTTGATATGTACCAGAGAAGCTGGATTTGATCTAGCTACCATGGGAACCAGTGCAGCACTGATGCTGTAGCGCACATTTCAGCATGATCCCCACACAGACCCTGGTTACCCACTTGGGGCTGCTAAAGTGTGTTGAGCACTGGGCTGTGTGCTCCCAGTGCTAATGTCATCTCTAATAGCTACTCTGATATTAGCAGTGGTACCCATATTTTTCTTTCTCCTGCAGACAATTTCTTTCAGCAGTGCCTGATTGGAAACTTAAGCTTCAGCCCTTACTCATGTTCCTCATCCTCATCCTCATGAATCTCATGCACTTTTTAAACAAAATAGCTAATATTCCTCATCCTCATGTCCTCATGCACCTTTAAAACAAAACAGCTAATTCAAATAGAAGCTTAAAGGTCAAACACTCCAGACCTGCTTTTGCAAACCTTCTTGTGCATGGCTTTTCCCCTTCTATTAAAAAAAAAAAAAAATCTCATCAGGAAATGTTGGCAAAAAGGTTTTAATTACAGAAATCATTTTGCACCCTATGGAGAAAGCATGAAGAATGGCATATTTCCACATTTGAATTGCACATTCATCAAGAAAAGAGTGATTTCCCCTTAAGAATTTTCTGGAGGAGTAGAAAAGAGCATTGAACCCTGGGGTGTGTATTTTATAGTCTCTGAAAGGCAAATGGTTTCACTTCCATTGATTAAAATGCATGGGTTTTCCCTCTGGATTATTCTCCTGGATGTAGGAAAAAAATTAAAATCTTTAGTAGTGGCTGTCAAGTAGTGCAGCCCCTTAGGAGATGTCTCCACTAAGGCAAAGGGCTCACCAAACCAACTGCTGCTGAACTTGGCCATCAAGAAGCCTTTGACCACTAGATGTTGCTTTTTTTGCTTGATGAATGGGAACTTTACAAAATGTGTTTTCATTGTTTCGTTGGAGAGAATGCCAACATGGAAACACAAGCCGGCATTGGGAGCACCAGGTGCCAGTCTGAGTGGCAGCTCCAGGACTTGCTGTCCTTGCTCTCTGGCACACAAGGTCTAACAGGCATTAGTCTTGTCATTCACCTTCTTGTCCCACAGATGTGGCTTCTTTACAAACTCTTCCAAACCCTGCATGGAGGAGAACTTGGCTCAATAGTCACTGTTCTCAAGGTGCAAAGTGCAAAATTGCTGGGGTGCAGGACCCAGGCACAACGTTGCAGGCTGATGAACACTGATACTTTGACTGTACATCTTCATAAAATATGCTCCAAATTGGTATTCAGCACACTTCTGTGACCACAGTAATTCACTGTGAATTGAAGCAGGAGCAGGATTTTCCTAAGCAAAGTCACTTTTTTCCATTAAATTACTATTGTTCTTTTTTTACCAGGAGCATTATTGTCTAGTTCTGTTAACAGAAAAAGGCCAATTACACAAACAGTGCTGACCTGTTAAACTTGAATTCACCAGCCAGAATTCAAATAAACAGCATTCTACTCCCCACTTCAGTTTACTGATCTTTTCTTAATAATGTCACTTGAGTTTAAAAAGAACCAAAAAATTGTCTGAGGTGAATGGGTATATCAACTAAGTGTTTCAAAACCACAGGAAAGTAATGCAAACTGTAAGAGCACTAAGAACAAGAAAAAGTTATATGTAATTGGAAGAGAAGATGTTCCATTTCCT